TAATTAATAATTAAAAATATAACTAATGTTTATTAATTAACAAAATCATAATAACCACAACCAGTAAAGATGCACTAATTATCAATTTTTTTTTTTTATAGATGAAAAAAGAGTAGAATATAAAAGACCAAAAAGTACCAATAAGAACATGATTGAATTGGTATCAATTACCTTAAAAATTTTGATTTGAAATTAAAATTAAAAGTTTAAACCCTATTGTTACAAGTAACTAACTTTTACAATGTACAGAAAAGAAAAAAAAAAGGGGGGGGGGGTGGAAGACTGAAAAGTTGTCTAACTTTCATTATTGGAAGATAGAGCATCACAGTAGGACACCAAAGGATAAAGATTACTACTAGCATTCCTAAGAACGGGCAAAGTCAAACCTAAAATTTCCAGGTTGAATATTAGTTGGTTACTTATCTACCACTTGACAAATGGAAGTCCCATACTCCCCGGGTCATATGACTAACAAGGCAAATGTCCTTCTCTGTTCGGCATAAGCTGTTTGCCTATGATTTTGTTCAAAAGCAATGTATATCAGTCGAAGAAGTTTAAAGCTTGGGGTCTCCTAAAACACATAAAATTTGTCCATTTCAAAGAGGAAAAGCCTATATCCAATTTACCATTAATTCACTACAGACCCTTTAATTTTCCAGATGGCATAATTGATTCATCAAATGATTTTGAAGAACATTCTGAAGCAGCAATAATCACAAAGGACACAAGTTTAAAGCTTAGTTATAAGCCCAAATCAAAGGAAAGACCCCAACTATAAATTCAATAAACATATAAACTAACCTCAAATGGTGTGACAATTACTAGAGCCTCAAGAACCCCAGCACCGAAACCCGACAGGAGCCTCCCGCGATTGCTCAACTGCCCATTTTCGTCCTTAAACGCGGCCTGAAACACAGCATTGGATCCCATCCGCAGCGCATACTTGAGCGTGAGGTGGGTGGCGAACGGGGTCAGCCCCTTCCACAGAGCTCTCACCCCCTCCGTTCTCGCCACCGTGGAGCCACAGTGCACAATCCCCTTATAATTCCCAGTCCTGTCCAGCTGCAGCCTCGTTTTGATCACGTCAATCGGCTGCAAACAAGACGCCTCCACTATCCCACCTAGAGATCCCGATACTGCTTTCATATACGGCGGGATCGATTTCTTGGAATTATTCTCCGATTCATTCATGGTTTTGTCTAACGAAATAGTACCAAAAAAAAAAATGAAATCTGAGTTTGATTGGAGAAGCGGAATGGGGAAAGAGAAAGAAGAGAAATAGATTTCAACTCCTTCTCTCCCTCTGCGACTGCGTGTCGTTTGGGCAATGGGATTCCTGCTATTTGTTAGTAGTTATCTCTTGTAAAAGCAGCCCACGTGAAGGAGGAAATTTAAAAAATTCAGTAAACGACGACGGCAAGGCAGATGAACCAAAACAACTTACTCGCCTTCTTCAAGCAACTGAAATGAATGTGAATACTCCCCAAAAAAAGGCCAGACAGAAAGGCAAAGACCCAAAATGACTTTTTGTTACGGCCACTACCGATAAAAAAAGTCAGGTAAGGGAGAAAGTAACGAAAAGCTGAAATTATATATAAAACTAGTATAGTTTTAATGTTATCTGATATTATAAATGTATAATATGATATATTAATATATGTTTACTTATTTAGTATCATATTATATTTTATTAAATATCATATAAAATTATAAATTTATAATTTTACATGATATTATAATTATAATATTATTGTATTATATATTCGTATATGATAAACTTGAAGTGATTTATTTAATTTAATTAATTAATGAGATAATTTATTCTTAATTTAGTTTGAAAGTGAATTTCTCACCGTCCCATATTTTGGGGACAGATTTAGAGAGTTGGCAAAAAGAAAAAAAAACCTTACCATTGGATAGGAGTATTCAACCATTCCTATCTTGTAATTCTGGTACAATTTACGGTTTTGAATGGCAAACCAGGTAACTTAAGAAAATTCCATTACCTATTTTCAAAAAAAAAAAAAAAAGGTAACTTAAAGAAAACAATAATAAAATAAATAAATAAAGAAGACGCCGCCCCTACCATATTTTAAAGAAGAAAGAGTTGCGTTTGCTCTTTACAGATTGTTCATGTTGGCTCCAGCCCAGCCTTCCTTTTTTGATTGAACGTGGCACGTGGGTATGTATCAGACCGTTGACGGGCCCATGATCCAGGCTCAATAGCTTTAGCGCTTGGGCTTAGCCCATGTCCTCCTTTGCGTTTTATTATTATCTGATTAAAAATTACTGATTTTACCGCAAAATTCTAACACGTGTCATGCAGCTTAGCATCGAATTTACTGTTCCTATTGACTATGCACCTTCGTGTCACCACCCGATAGCATTTTTACTCCTACTCCGCCGCGTCGGACTTCTTACGTGTTCTTCTCTCATTTCTCATTTCCTCACCGTTTGCCTCTATTTAAACTACCTCTTCCGGTCCTTACATCAGCAACAATTCGTTTTTCGATTGTAAAATAAGTGAAAGAATACACGCCAAAAGAATTACAATGTCTTCTCAACAGCGAAGAGAGGATCTCGACGCCAGGGCAAGGCAGGGGGAGGTTGTCGTTCCCGGGGGGACCGGGGGCAAGAGCCTTGAAGCTCAGGAGCACCTCGCGGAGGGTAACATGCTCTCTGCTTTTATATTGGATTATTGGTTTCGCGGTATGTTAGTAAGAAACGTGGTTTTCCGTTGTTATGCTGTGTAGGGAGGAGCCGTGGAGGTCACACAAGGAAGGAGCAGCTGGGGCGCGAAGGGTACCAGGAGTTGGGCAGTAAAGGAGGGAACACGAGGAAGGAGCAGATGGGAACTGAAGGGTACAGGGAGATGGGTAGGAAAGGTGGCCTCAGCAACATGGACAAGTCTGGATGAGACCGAGCTGAGGACGAAGGTATCGACGTTGATGAGTCCAAGTTCAGAACTTCAAACCGTTAAGTAGACCCACTTAGTGTTGTTGTTGTGTGACAATGTCTGTCCTGTGATTTAAGGCTGTAAACCTTTCGAGTTTCGCAGGCCTCCGGTCTAGGTTGTTTGTTTGCTAGTTTCGTTCTCTAGTTTTGGGGCTTAGCTTCTAGTTAGGCAGGGTTGTGCTTTCTGTGTGTGATGTTGCTTGAGGTGTTGAATGAATGTTTGAATTTTGGGTTCATATTGGATCAACTGGTTTACAAGTTATATATCCTTTCAGAAAATGTGATATGTATCAAATTTAAAAGAACAAATTATTCAGAATTCAGGCACAAATTAAACTGCTTTTAATTCTTGTCTAGAAGAGAAGACAATAGAACAAAAATATAGAGGAAAAAACTAGTTCTAGAAAATGACAGTGGAAAAAAAGACCATTAAAACCTTATTACTTGATCAAGTCTTCAAGGCAATCAGGAAGAGTAAGGCAGGAGAGAAAGCTCACATAATTTACATACATGTGAAGCAGGGGATGCTTAATTCTATCTATCTCCTTCGTACCGTAAGCTCTTCAGCTTTCAAGTAATTTTCCAAATCTTATTTGCCTTCTGGCCATCATATCAGTGGCTAGTTGCTAGAGCAGTAACCAACAAGCCTAGCACCAGAAATGGCTGAGCACTTGCCTGAGACACAAGCAACACTTTAGATTCAATATGAGGTTCATCTATTATTAACATAATCTTCCCTTTCTTTATATCTAAAAAGTCTTCACGAAAATTACCTGGTATTTAACATCATACTTGACAGGGTCTTTAAGGAAGTATTGGAACTGCGGTGAAGTAACCATGCATCAATAGGCATTTCAAAGGAACAGGGAAGAAAGGGGTACAGTTAGAGTACCAACAAAGATGTGGAAAATAGTTTTACCTGAAATATAACTTGCGGAATTATCAAGGCAAGTAGAGCCAACGCATAATATGGTTTACCAGTCCCAAGGAGGTAACCTGCAATCTCCAGCAATATAAACTGATTTGAGCAGCTAGCTTCCATGAAGGCAATCAAACTATTAAATACTCTAGTGATGTACCAGCTATAGAAATCTGAGTTATGTCAATAGCACCAACGCAAATCCATTTAGCTGTTTCAGCACCAAATGCTACTGGTAATGACTGTTTGAGCATCATGGCGGTATAAACATAAGGATTGGGTAATGGTACAAACAAAGAAAGCAAGGAACTCGTTCAACAGGTACAAGTCTTATTGATCAAAAAAATAAAAGAGAAGACCTGCAGTCCAAGTGCTTTGTCTCCTTCAATACTTTTGAAGTCATTAACAATGGCAATACCCAACTGCAAATCATGCAGCAAAAGTAAATTAGTAAAAGTCAACATGCTAATGTTAAGCATGCATCAGGAATGCAATCCAATGTTAGAAACATACCCCAGCTATGCTGTACAAGAGTGTGAGAACAATTATGTCAGGTGTAAGGGTGCCAAACAAAGCTTGGCCGGCCCACCTATCAAAGAAATTGAAAGCTTGTTGAGCAACAAATTGAAAGCCCGAATACTATGCTTGAAGTTTTTTTCTTTTTGGCCTGATATGTTTATAGGATAAGCCAACAGAAAACACCCCTAGCTCGATTGTATTAAGTGCAAGGTAATCACATGTTAGAGGAAGCCACAGATGAATCAAGCTCTCATGCCTTAACCACCTATCTCCTCTCCACCAAACAAATCTCTTACTAAAAAATAAAAATAAATAAATAATAAATAAGAAGAAGAAGCAGAGGAAACCTATCTCTTAGATCTGCCTTTCTAATAAGCAATCAT